CTTACTACGCTGATGGACAGTACTGTAATGGAGTTTGTAGGGGGGGACTTGGTGAAGGGGGAAGTCTAATAACCATAATGTTCTTCATGTAATTGTAGATTAATGATAATAAAATGAATAAAAAAAGAAATTGAAGAATCTCTCTCTTCCTCACAGTAAAGCTAAAAATAAAGACATTGTGCTCAAGCTCATGGTATTCAGTTTTCATTTGTGTAGGTTACAAATACAAAACGTTAAAAGAATACACAGTGATCTACAGGTGGTCACAGTGGTACCCTAACTTCCTAATAAGTAATGACGCTCATTAGAAAAGACTGTCCACCATCAATCTCTTTATGTTCCCTTAATTACCCACAGGCTTCCCTGAGCAAATGGAATATTTCTTATACACATGAAATTGCTACAAAATACAAATATTTGTGCCACTAAATATTTACATTTTAAATCACTCATACTTGTTTATGATGCTCCCTCTATATTCCCACTACCACCACCACCACCAAGACTATAAGGTCTTAGAAACCATCTCTCTCCTACTCTGTATAAACCACACAGTGGCTCAAAGGTTATGTCCCATAAGAAATCTTCTGGGATGACATGTCCTCAATAGAAGGTAATTCCCTGCAGCATCCTGCTGTGTTGAGCATCAGTACTACTCCTTTACCTAAAGATTTGAGCACATCCACAGTCTTCTGAATATTTCAAGCCCTTGAGGAATTAAAAGAAGCTCTTTTCTCTTTTCACAACACAGCTGGGACCCATGTCCTATATATCAAGACTAAAAGCCAGCCATGAGTAGACACATATTAATCAAGCTAAATTACAATATGGCTAAATGAATCATTAGGGTTCTGAATCTCTTCTGGCAAAGAAATACAGTGTGACTTGAATGCTCAACATTGTGAGAATCATTAAAACAATTCTATAGATATGAATTTGTTGAGTTAATCTTCCTTCATTATCTCCATTAGCCAACAATGCACATGTAGTCACTGCACATAATTACTTCTCTAACAGACGTGGATGTTTGAAATATTAGCTTTCCCACAGACACCAAATCTTCAGTAAGCAGCTCTCAACAATTCATTATATTAATCATATATGTCACCACACTTCTATTAAATATGTATGAGATTAAATACCACCCATGCTGCAAACTGTCCATCTTCATTTTTAATATAATTTATTACCTTCTAGATACTGTAATTATGACAGCCCCTAGTGCTGCTATAATAAATGCAAATTTAACTACCTGGTTTATAAGTAAACAGCATGTAACTAATGCCATGTTTCCTCAACTTTTAACAAACATTTAACTGAAGATATTTTATAACACAAAGCATAAAATATTTATAAAGTTAATATTTTATGATATAGGAATGCCTAATTTAAAATTGCATAGAGAAAAGTTAATTTTCTTAGATATCTCATAGGCAACTGAATAATTCAAAATTGAAGTTTATCAAAAAATTAGCATATAATATATTGATATGTGCAAGAAAAAGTGTGATGTAAAGTATGATTTGGAGTATTATGATATCATGGTTCTAATCAAATTATTTCATAGGCTTTAAAAATTCTATGTTTATGCAAATTATTGCAACAAGGAGTAGATTTGATCTTCAAAAAAGCAAACATAAAACCTATCAGAAAAAAAAATTTTTTCAAATAAAGGTAAAGGTAAAAATTGTAGTATAACCTTGGGTCCTGTTACTCAAAACTTTATGGTTAATATGGTTACAGATTATTAACTTAGGAATAATAATATAAATAATAAAAACAGAGTTTTTAGTATGTCAGAACAAATCTGAGACAAACCTGAGACATGTACCAAGGGCTTATTAACTTAGTGTGTTAGGCACTATAATTAGTACTTTACATTCATATCTCACTTAACTTTCATAATTAGCCAGTGAAGAAGAAGCTAATATTATCTGCACCTTGTAGATGAGGGAGTTGGAGGTTTTAAGCAGATTAATGACTTGTTCAGGGATGCAGGGCTTGGCAGGAGAGGGATCTGACTCCAAGTCTATCCTACTACCCACAAAGCGCCCAGCTCTCAGCTCTAGATCCATGACCTCTTCATGTGGCCTTGGTAAGTCATCAAAAGTCTCTAAAGCTCATTCCCTTTAGCTACAAAATGCAAATAATATTAATATATGCCAGAATTTTTGAAAACTAAATAAAACTGTTTATGAGAAAGTACTGTACACTGTCATGGAGCTACATAACACTACTTGTTATGATACTGATGGAATTAGAAAATAAAATGCTGAAAATAAAGAAAAAAATGCTTATTGGCTCCTGGTCAAAATTTTCCAACAAAAATGGTATTCCTGGTTGTTTTACCTTGTTTAACATAGACTCTATTACATAAAGGCAAATAGGAGTCAATATCTTTATTATACCCTAAGAATTAGTTAGATAAGCACTAATAGATTAAGTTAAGAAGTGAACAGTAAAACTAGAAATGCATCTTTGAGATGTTACCATCTGTGTTCATATAACCAGACATGGCCTCTCAAAGAGTTCTTCAAAACTAAGGTTACCTGGAATCACCATCAAACCATAATTTGCTATGATTCACACACACATTTTGATTTGTGGAAATATTTAAATCTGTAAGCCCAGGAAGGAAAAATAATATTCAAAAGTTTCATCATTCATTATTTCAGATAAGTGATGTGTTATCATTGAGTTTATTTTTCTATAAGGTTTTGTGACTCAAACAATCATTTCATAGGCATTATGTTAACCAAGATCTTTAAAAGAAGTATCAAAACTTTGAGATCAGGGAACTGGAATTCACCAAGGTTAATAATAAGAAATCTATATAGCCATAATTGGTGTTTTCTACATGTGTGTATGTGTGTGTGCATGCAAATATATATCAACATGTAATATTTTTCTAGTGGCTTTTCATCTTTCTTAATGTCAATATTGTTAATGATTTATATGTATATATATATAGCCAAAAGAAAAAAATGGAACAAAGGGGCCACATGTTTCCAATAATTCCTTAATCACATTCAACACATTCATATCATTAAATGGGGAATAAGGGAAACTTTTACTCCCTTAGTCCTCATAAATCCACAAATACATTGTCACCTTTTCAAACATCTTTACTTGATTATATCATGAAGTAAGAAAACTGTAAGAGTATATAGGATCTCCAAGGTCCCACCTACCTCCCGGCCGTTCATGTTCTCCATCAGTGTGTAAGAGCATGGCAATGGGCATTCCTACATTCTTAGATCTTCCAGCTACAACCACATTCTTCCCAAATGTTTTGATTCCTTAAAACAAACAGTTTCATTTAAACGAAGAGTCAACAACAAGAAGCAAATTAAACACCTGAATAACCATCTGAAACATTCTTCAAAAAATTCTCATTAAATTTGGATCATTGTGTGGCTTGTCTATAATGTACCCACATGCATTATTTATAATTATTTCTCTTCATGCTTCTCGGATTTGTCACTTCCTCTCTGAGTATGCCCTCATTGGAAAACCAAAAACATTTTCAAGTTGCCATTAAATTCTTTTAAGCACTGAGATTCACACGAGTAGTTACAAGTCCAAAAGCTTAAAATATATTAGCTACTAATTATGAAGTAAGAAAGTATAACAATGTCAGGCTTAACTGGCAATCGAACTTTGAACAAATCTGAGACAAATGGAGTGAGAAAAAAAACTATTTTTCACAAAGCTTACACACTTCCCTCCAGAGGGAGAAGCACGAAACTTTAGAAACTTAGAAAGCTATGAAATATAAAACTTCCAGGTTTAACATACCTTATCTCTTTTGAACATAGATTCTTCGTAAGTAAAATGAAGAAGTTAGAATTAAAGTTTCCCAAGTACAAACATACTTAGGGGATAATTCTAGAATGTTCTCTCACTTAGAAATTTTCTCCTCCAATTAGAAAACAGCAGATTAGAAAAGAGAAGACGGTGTTGCAAAGAAAGTGACAATGATGGATGGCAGGAGAATCATCAATATAAAAGGTAAGTGGGTCATTAATGTAGAAGCAAACATTTCTATACACCTCCAGGTTCTAGGAGAGCACAATTCAAGGGTAAATGTTAATAATAAAAATATAGGTCATTAGAAATGGTTCAAATATGTTCAGCAGATTTTGTTTTTAAACACAGAAAAAAATATAATACATTTTGGGAAATGTACATCAACATACATTAAATTTATAATCCAAAAGTAGAGAAATAAACATATTTGAAAAAGTAATTCCCTACAAAGTATAAGAGCAGTTACCTGTAATCTGGCACATGTTCCTCATTTTATTTTATTTTGGATATTCTTTGGTTTCTATAACTTTATAACTTCTATTACTCTCTACAGATTAAAATTTTATGGCTTATCACTTCCTTTCACTCAATTCAACTGAGGTGGCTCCATCAAGGCAAAAAAACACATGCTCAAGTTGACATTGGGCACCCACACCCTAGAGACCACAAGTTACCAACCTGTTCTTTTGATTATTTCCCAAACAGCACTGGCAGTGGCAGGTATGAGAGAATGCTGATCAAGGCACAATTTTCCAATATTGATAATATGAAATCCATCTACATCTTTTTCAGGGGAAATTCCATTGCATACTGTTCGTTCATCCACATGGCCTGAAAAGTAAATATAGTTGGTCTAATTTTACAAATGTTATTTATTTGAAGATCTGGAATATGAAATCTGAAGACCTACAGCAAGATCACTTATGACTGAGCTTCAAAAGGTATAAAATCATTACTCTCTTCCTTTTATTGCCACCAAAATAATAAGTCAGAGTGCTCTTGACTAATGACAGTCATTAGCTACTGCAAGAGTATATGCAATTGCAGGGCCAAAAGTGGCTGAATAGATGAAAGAGGAAAAGTCAGGAGATAAAATAATACCAATGAGATCTGGGAACAGCCAGCTGATAAGTCTTTGCCTCAAAAAGTTCGTATATTCAGAGGGTTTAAATCTATGCTTTTCCTATACATGACATTTCCATGAATAGGCTTCTATTAAATATTTCTAGCATTACAGATTAAAAGAGGTTTTCAGTGTCAAAGTTATAACTTTGACAAAAGTCAACATTCATTCATGATAAAAACTCTTAACAAAATTGGAAAGGAGGGTACATGCCTCAACATAATAAAGGCCATATATGAAAAATCCACAGCCAACATCGTACTTAATAGCAAAAAGCTGAAAGCTTTTCCTCTAAGATCAGAAACAAGACAAGGATGCCCATTCTCACCACTTTTATTAAACATAATAGTGGAGGTCCTAGCCATGGCAAATAGACAACACAAAGAAATAAAAGGCATCCAGGCGCTCCTCTCTCTGAGGTCTCCTGCACTTTCTAAGTGTGTGACCTTTTAAGTTTAAACTCTCTCTTCTCAACCTTTTGGTGCATGCTCCTCTCTCTGAGGTCACCCACACTTTCTAAGGGTGTAACCTTTTAATCTTAAACTTTCTCTCTCCAAACCTTTCAGGGCGCCTTTCCTTGCTGAGGTTGCCTGCTGCACTCCTCTCTTTAAATAACCTTAAATAAAACTTTTACTCTGCTTCAAAAAAATAAAATAAAATAATGAAATGAAATGAAATAAAATAAAATAAAATAAAATAAAACAAAAGGCATCCAAATTGACAAGGAAGAAGTCAAACTGTTACTCTTTGCAGATGACATGATATTATAGATAGAAAACTCTAAAGAATTCACCAAAAAACTACTAGAACTAATAACTGAATTCAGCAAAGTTGCAGGACACAGGATTAATACACAGAAATCAACAGCATTCCTATATACTAACAATTAACTAGCAGAAAGAGAAATCAGGGAAACAACTCCATTTATAATTGTATCAAAAAGAATACAATACCTAGGAATAAACCTAACCAAGGAGTAAGACCTATACCCTGAAAACTACAAGATACTCATGAGAGAAATTAAAGAAGACACCAATGAATGGAAATCTATCCTGTGCTCATGAATAGAAAGAATCAATAGTCTCAAATTGGCCATCCTGCCCAAAGCAACTTACAGATTCAATTGGTATTCAATGGAAATACCAATAGTATTCTTCAATAAACCAGAGCAAATAGTTCTAAAATTCATATGGAACCACAAAAGACCCTGAATAGCCAAAGCAATCCTGAGAGAGAAGAACAAAGCTGGGGGGATTACACTCCCCAACTCCAAACTGTACTGCAAAGACACAGTAATCAAAACAATTTGAAGCTGGCACAAGAACACAGGTCCATGGAAAAGAATAGAGAGCCCAGATATAAACCCATTCATATATGGTCAATTAATATACAATAAAGGAACAATGAACATATAATGGGGAAAAGACAGCCTCTTGAACATAGACCAATGGAAAAGAATAGAGAGCCCAGATATAAACCCATGCATATATGATCAATTAATGTACAAAAAGGGAGCAATGAATATATAATGGGGAAAAGACAGCCTCTTTAACAACTGGTGTTGGGAAAACTAGACAGTACATGTAAGAGAATGAAACTGGATTATTGTCTAACTCCATACACAAAAGTATGCTTGAAATGGATCAAAGACCTGAATGTAAGTCATGAAACCATAAAACTCTTAGAAGAAAACATAGGCAAAAACTTCTTGAATACAACATGAGCAACTTTTTTCTTGGACACATCTTCTTGGTCAAGGGAAACAAAATAAAAAAATGAACAAATGGGACTATATCAAACTAAAAGGCTTCTGGACAGCAAAAGACACCATCAGCAGAACAAAAAGGCATCCTATAGTATGGGAAAATATATTCATAAATGACTCATTTGATAACAAGTTAAAATCCAAAAAACAAATAACCCAATTAAGAAATGGGTGGAGTACCTGAACAGACACTTCTCTAATGAAGAAATACAAATGGCCAACAGGCACATGAAAAGATGCTCCACATTATTAATCATCAGGGAAATGCAAATTAAAACCACAGTGAGATATTGCCTCACACTGGTTAGAATGGCCACTATCCAAAAGATAAGAAACAACAACTGCTGGCAAGGATGTGCAGATATGGGAATCTTCCTACACTGTTAGTGGGAATGTAAATCGGTGCAACTGCTCTGGAAAGCAGTATGGAAGTTCCTCAGTAGAAATACCATTTGACCCAGTAACTCCACTCCTAGGAATTTTATCCAAAGAAAACAAAACCCCTGATTTGAAAGACATATGCACCCTTATGTTTATCACCACACTATTTGCAATAGTTAAGATATTGAAGCAACCTAAGTGTCCATCAGTAGACGAATGGATAAAAAAGATGTTGTACATATACACAATGGAATATTATTCAGCCATCAAAAGAAAAGAAATTCTGCAATTTGCAACAACATTGATGGATCTAGAGGGTATTATACTCAGTGAAATAAGTGAGGTGGAGAAAGACAAATACCATATGATTTCATTTATTTGTGGAATATAAAAATGAAGCAAAACAGAGGGAGCAAAACAGCAGTAGACTCACAGACACTGAGAAGTGACTAGTGGTTACCATGGGGGAGGGGCTGGGGCGGGTTGGGGGAAAGGGATAAAGGGACACAATATTCTCAGTCACAATATAAGTTGATCGCAGGGACTGCTGAACCACTGGGATGTACATTTGAAACCGAGATAAGATTGTACATTAATGACACTTTAATAAAAAAAAGTCATAACATTAATGCCTAACATCTTCCCAAATGACATAACAAACCAGCAAACTGGGCACACACACACACACACACACACCCTTTTCCTGAAGAACTAGTACATTGAAATCCAAAATATTACTATGGTTTCCTATTTGCAAGGGAAGAATATAACTTGAATAACAAACTATTCAAATTATATATACGATGCCAATCATCTCACTTTGAAAAGTATTAAGTACAGAAATAGAAAATAGCCTCTTACTACTCAATACTTAGTAGTTTAGGTTACCATAAACCCAACAATTAACCCAGTGCCTAATATATTGAATAAAGGTGTATTTGCTACATAAAAGTTTCTTAGTCCATTACACAATAGATGCCATTTAGACATAATTTTTAAAAACATTACCAAAGCCCAAGTTTAAATTGTTTTCAAGGAGCTATGCCATGTGTCTTAGATCTTTTATATTCTAAAAATCACACTACTGTCATCTTATAACATCATGTAATGCACAGAATGGGGACTATAATTAATAACACTGTACTGCATATTTGAAAGTTGCTAAGAAACTAAATCTTAAAAGTTCTCATCACATCACAAGAAAAAAAATTCTGTAATTATATATGGTGATGGATGTTAATTGGACTTATTGTGGTGATCATTTTGCAATATATCTACAATATTGAGGCATTTTGTTGTACACCTGAAACTAAAGTTATTTGTAAATTAAATTCCAATAAAAATTAAATAACTGCTATAAAAAAGAACAACTATCTGAAAACACTGGAGAGTTACTTAAGTAGACAGATTTGGAGGAGAGCAGACATCTGAAAGAAAGGAATGTCACTGAAAGAGTTTCCCATTTTGGAAGCTTTTTGAAACACAGGACAGCTAGAATTTGTATAGAAATCTGCAGTCTTAATTGCTTAAGAAATGTCAGGACAAAGTTTGGGGCTACTACAGCAGTTGAAAATTGAACAGATCCATCCAGGAAATGAGAAAGGCACAGAAAGAAGACTCAAATTTTTATCTATAAATTCTGCCCAAATCTCTGACTGACCCTTGAATGGCACACTCTGAGGAACCCATCTAAGGTTCAGAGAATTGAAAGAGATTGCAGCTGTGGCTCACCAAAGTTGAAGCAAAGCTTGAAGTCCTCAATATAAAAGGCATTTATAAAAGCACTTACAGCTAATACTACACTTGGTAATGAAATACTGAAGCTTTTCCCCCAAGAAATAAGAAGGCAAGGGTGTCTAGCTCACCACTTTCAGAAAGGAAGAATTAAAACTCATGTCACAAATGGCATGGCTGTTTATGCAGAATATCCTAAAGAACTTACAACAAAACAAAAGAACTAAACAAGTGAATTCAGTAAGATCACAGAGTACAAAGTCAATATACCAAAAAATCAACTGTATTTCTGTATATAAGAAGGAACTACTAGAAAATGAAATTTTAAAAATGCTGTTTACAATACCCTACAAATCACAAAGAACTTAGAAATAAATTTCTAAAATTTGAGAATGACTTCTATAATGAGAACCATAAAACATTGCTCACAGATGACCCAAATAAATGGAAGGTACATCGTGTTCATGAACTGGAAGACTCAATAGTGTTAACATGTTGATTCTTTCTAATTGATCTAAAGAGTCAGTGTAATCTCAATCATAATCCTATGAGGTATTTTGGTAGAAGCCAACAAGTTTATTTTAAAATTTATAGGGATATGCAAAGGACTTCACTTAGATAAAGAAATTTGAAAATGAACAAAATTATAGGCCTGATAATACCTGGTTCAAGACTTTTACAAAGCTATAGTAATCAAACCAGTATACTACTGGTGTAGAGATAGACAAAACAGATCAGCAGAACAGAACAGAAAGCTCAGCTTTAGATTCACATTTACATAGTCAATCCTTTTTTTTTGGTATCATTAATCTACAATTACATAAAGAA